AAAAAAGTGTGATTCTATTTATGTGCTAAAAGATTTTTCAAAATGTGGAATAATTATAAAGATTACATGAATGTGATTTTTAAAATACAATTCTGTATTGTTTAATGTATTAACATCAAAGGTCAACATTTAAAGGATTTTTCCTATTACTTTTATTCACAAATTTTCCTGTTGGAGGGTGAGATAGCATCTGTGTATCTATTTCTCTGTATATTTTCTATTCTGGGTTTCCAGCCACACCAATTTCTAAGGCCGGTCCTGCTTTTCTTTGTCAGGGTTTCTATTCTGGTCCAGTTAAATGTTGGCCATTTTGTCTGAAGAACAGAATTTTACCTGAAGCCATGTCTCAGAGCTGTGATCATGCTATCACGTGATTATATGGAATTAAATCCATATGTGGCTTCTAAAACAACTACATAACTATTATAGGAAACATCACAAAAGTCAGGAAGCAGAGAGAAAAAGGAAAATGTTGATGAAATTTTATGATACTGAGATTTTCCACTAAGTTTAACATTGATAATGATAGTAATGGTCTATGTTAGAGGTGAGAAATTCTGCCAAAAGGCATCAAGTGGCCAGTTATCACCAAGTGGAATGATAGCCTCAATTGAGCACTGTATGATTAAAGACTCTAAGCTATCTCTACTGCTTCACTGCCTTTTAGTTGACCTCTTTCAGGTTGCAACACATAAATGACTCTGTGGTTGTCATCATTTAGACAGGCTAACACAGGAGGGCATATTTTTAATGAGCATCAACTCATTGCAAGCAAATGTATTAATCCAGTGTGCTGATGAAACTGGGAAGTGATACAAATATGGCGAATGTTCAATTTGAAAAAATTATTTTGCTAATAACACCCCTCAGAGCTTTCCTCTTGACTTGAAGCATATTTGTCCAGTTATCCTTCCCACTTTCAGAAGCAGTTCTGACGTTCTTTTTTATGAGTGTCTTCAGTTGTGCTTTTGTGGTTCCTCCGTATCCTGAATTGACTCAAAGTGCTCACCTTTCATGGTCATTTGAAATTGCACAGTGCTAGATCCAGTGACTAAGGCAGGCAAGGCTCTGGGTTCAGTTCCCAGCACTGCAAAAAAAGAAATAATAAAATAAAGAGGACACCCTGCTATGTTTTTATGAGGCTGCCTTTCCTTGGATGATGCTCCGCAGCAACATTTACCAATTTTTAGTCACACCTTATAAAGACACTCACAAAAGAGCACTTCTGGAACTGATTCAGAAAGAGCAATGGGAAGTGTGTGAGGGATGTGCTATGAGGGGGGAGTTAATGGCAATGGGTTTTTACTGTGATAAATATTTAAAAATTTTAAATTCACACCGTAATTTTTGATCACCCCCTTTTTTTAAAAAAAAAATTATTTATTTATTTATGTGTGTGTGTGTGTGTGTGTGTGTGGCCAGCTCAGCCCACCAGGGGGCAGGCGAGTTGGCATGTGGTGCTGGGGGATTGAACCGAGGTCCCTGTGCCTTGCTTGGCTTAGCTTGTTCTAAGTAGGTGCCTTAGACCACTGAGCTATCTCACCAGCCCATTGATCACCCCTTTTGAATAAGTCCTCTGGATAAGTTTAATACTACCTTAGTGATTTTTCTATTCATTAAACTAGAAACTTTTTTTTTACATATGAAATTTTTTTGTCTCTTACTACTCTTGAGATAATTCAAAGTTATTTTTCTAGGAATATTCTATGATTTTATCCCCTGATTGGATTTTTCATAAATTAAGGTTAAATTTATTTAATGCATTCTGACCATAAGAGAAATGTGGGCTAAGGGTCCAAAGAGAAAAATCGTTATCTTTGCGAAGTTTTACCTTTGGGTCTAAGATGTGAGATCTGTTGTCTATACTCTTCTGTTTTCTTGACTGAGCGCCCGGAGGCTTCAGCACCACTTGCTGGGGGCTGTCCTTCTCCACTGAGCTGCCTCTGCTCGGTGGCCAGCGCTCAGCTGCCTGGGTCTGTCTGGGTTTACCGCCAGGCTCTCTGTTGTGTAACTCATCACTTCGACTGTTTTCCTTCAGATCCACACTCTCTTGCTTACTATCGCTTTACACTAAATCTGAAAGTCTCTTGGTCTTGAGTTGTTTTAAGCATTTTCTTTGTGCCTTGGGTTTTGTGCAGATTTTATTATGATATTGTGAGATTATTATGATAACTTCTGTGTGGTCAGGTTTTTCTTCCTAATTTATTCCTCCTTGACAGTTTCTAGTGCTTCCCAAATCAATACTTGATCTTGCTCATCAATTTTGTGAAATTTTCAGCTATATCCCTTCAAATACAGCTTCTGCCACTTGCCTCTTCTCTCCTTGGAATGTATAGATTGATCTCCACACTGTGCACCCTACATCTCTTGTTTGCCTTCAGATATTTTCATCTTTGTGTCATTTTATACTTCCTTTCAGGTACTTTTTTCTGACCTGTCTTCTAGACCAGCATTTCTTTTTTTTTGCAGAACCAGGGATTGAACTCACGTCCTTGCGCTTGCCAGGGAAGCGCTTATTCCACTGAACCATCTCCCCGGCCCCTTCTTTTGTTCTTATTCTGCTTTTAAACTCATATTGATTTCTTAATATTATTGTAATATTTATTGTAACACTTCAACTTCTTTCTTCTTTCCAACACAGTCCTGGTATTTTCAATCCTACGTGTTGTTCCTTGGCCATGTCAAACACCACTCACTTTCAAATCCGATGGTGTCAGGCATGGTTTTGAGTGGTCTGCAAGCAAGGTTGGCTTCTGTATTTCTAGAGAATTATTTTTAAAAAAGAGAAAAACTGAAGAAGATACATGACAGGGACTGCACGTGGACCACAAAGCATAACAAATTTGTTCTCCGGCCTTTTACAGAACAAGCTT